AGTAGTTGGGGGTTATCTTCTTACCAGATGACAAAACCATCATTTTTAAAGAGAACATTTGCAAAACGCTTGTTGACATGACTCACTGATGGTTATTGGCTCATATGTTATGTTCGGTGACTGAATTGCTGTCTTAAGATTACTGCACCAAAATGCTCACGGGTAAATTCACAGTGGTCATCTTAGGATCAACAGGATGAAATGCTTGACCCAAAGTTATGCCATCAATTGCCATCAATGGAAAGAGATGTCGAAGATTAGCTCCATAGATGTTCGCCTGGTCTGCAAGCTTTTAAAAACCCTACAAAATGTGAACCGCAAAAATAATCTATGTCTTGCTGGACCCTGAATGGGACTCAATGCAAATTCCGCCTGTCCAGTTCAAGGAAAAATGCTTCTAGTTATTGTAGTTGCAATGACAAAATGGCCGGAAATATGTACTATGCCGAACTGTTCAGCCGAAGAAACGAACAGCAAGCCGTCTAGATTTTTTGGCTGTTACATGGTAATGAAAGCCTTGGTGATAGGTAGTAGCCCTAAATTCGCTTCTCACTTGTCTAAAATATTCTGCGGTGTGGGTGGAGCGCTCGTGCTATCCACCCCATCATATTCAGTCTAACGGAAATGCAGGACGTTTTGTGGACACCTTCAAAATAGCACTACTTGAAGGGAAAGACGAGAGGATGATGAGTCAAGTGACCACTGAGTTCTTGCAGCCTAACAGAACCAACTACAATCCTGTTTCGTCAAATGGGAAGTCATCAGCTGAAGTCATGTTCAGTAGAAGCATCGAACTGATATACGACACTTTGTTAGCATCCGATAGGGTAGATGACCACGGAAAAAGTAGTTGTATTCGCAGATTTGATGTGAGGGAAAGAGTATTCACTAAATCATACCAGGGCCGATGCCAATGGAACCTGGGACAACTGTTCAAACAATGGGTAGATTCTTGTATAACATGAGGTGAGCATTCGAAACACGCATTGGACATACCAACTAATTTTATGAAGATAAAAGGACAATGAACGCTAGGGATTGCCAAATGAAACTACCATTAGAGATAATTACAGATGTTTCAATGATGCAAATATACAGGGAAATTTTAAGGAGAAAAAAGAGGGGCTGGTTAACGGAGATAACGAAAAGTGAAGCGTCAGTGCCAGTTACTAATTTACAAGTAGTCTACAGAAGGAACACTTGCTATGAGGTGTTGGAATGGATCTCAGGAGCCAGAAGAAGCCTCCAGAGACTCTAAATGAGTCGGAGAGATTTCATCTAATCATATTCCGGTAGGAAGATTCTGCAGTATTAATAGAAGATGCTATCATTAGACAATTGAGCAAACTTCCTAATTGGGAATTAGTTCAGCTATGATGATGTTAAAGCCCATACTAGAAAATTCGAACACACCTGTTCTTGTGTACTTCTTGTACACTTACGCAACAAATGTTTCTCCTGCTTTTTTCTGTCTTTTTGATCCGCGATTATAGGTTCTACGCGTTCGAATCTCAAAGTCATATCCCATATTGGTCGTAATCAAGTGAAGGATGCAACAATGACAAAACAATGTAAGGTTATACTATGTACTTCAAATTGAAGTTCATGAAATTTTTAGACTTAATTAGACCAAAAGTAGTTCCGTAGTTTACTTAAAAATCACAACTCAGCAAATGGTCGTGTTGCAGTTTTCAGTGTTTCAGTTGATCCAAACGTGCTTGTTTATGCTGGTTTTGCATCGCTGGTACCATTTATTCGTGAGATAGGAAACTTTGTTCTTGGCTTTTTTAGAAATTATGGTAGTGAGTCGTGCGATTTAGATTTTCGAGTCCTCACCACTGCGTAGAGTAAACACGTTTTCCCAGATGTCACATGTAGGTTTTTCATTACTAGCTACCATGCCACTGCTGCTTTAGGGTTGATCGGAGCATAAAATCTGGCTACTTCTGATCGGGATATTGTTTTTATTCCATTTTCGTCTTCAAGCTTTTTTTAGCCTACTACAGTTCTTGAAAGCAATCTACATTGTGGACTTACACATCAAGAACTATTATCTCCGCAACATTCCCTGGGTTTGAGCTTTGGAGTACTTTTGAGCAGCTATACGGTACTTTGTAGGGTGGAGTAGTTATCTCAGTTTAGGGGGTAGTTTACACTGCCTTGGAAGTCACATTTAAGTGACTATGATAGATAAACCCTAAAGACATTGTCTCAGGAGACCTCGAACTTCCAGACGGTGCAAGATGGACAGTATCTAAGAGTATAAGACCATCAAAGTTTTCAAATTACTTGATTCCTGACGGTATTTTTTGCTATATTTAAAAATGATACTTAGAAATCGTACATGCATTGATTGACGGACTTTTATTTATAGTTATTGACAGTTTGATCAACCTAAATACAACACTCTGATTGGTTTTATTGGAAAGACAGTTGGGCGAACGCAGAGATCTCGCTCAAAACCACTAACATCTACCTTTAATGAACCACGAGAATCATATAACATAGAATCCACCCATCTTGTATTTGTTCTTAATATACGAATTTGAAAACATGCATGAATCTCGCCCTCAAACCCTCTTATTACATATACGGGATAGTATAAAATAAAACGATTTCCGTTTTAATTGCTTAACGTTAGACACTTTGAGAAAATGAACTCCGCAGTATTGTTAAGTTCACAATGCCACTTTATGCTAATGATGCAAACTCATCTTGTATTTGCCCTTAGCATACGAATTTGAAAACATGTATGTATCTCGCCCCAAAACCTCTTTATCACATATATGGAATAGACTTTGAAACTACATGAAGTAATAGTTCGTCTTTGATTGGTTATATTTTTGATTTTGATTTGACATGTCGACAATGTGGCAAGATTAAGCTGTTAGTTGGATGGATTAAATTAGGTTATTAAAGGATAGTGGGGCTTGGTAACTGATGTAATGAATTTGTGTAATTATGGTCTACTATGATATTAGTACTACTCTAATAATAGGCTTAGTCCTAAAGTTGCACATTTGTCATGACGTTACTGCATAATCTTTAAGATCTTACATGCCAGTCACTTCATTGTCTACACCAACTCATCGCGTTGTAACAATCACCAAATATATGATGGAGAACAAACATAGGCTTTCGATAGATCAATATATTTAATATGAATAAAAAATTATGTTACAACACTTGAGATTGACCACGCTTGCAAGGCCGAGTCCGATCAATTCGAATTCCTTCAATTCCTTGTTCCCGCCTTCTCCATAGTTGGGTTTTTCTCTGCGTTCAGTGTTGGATATCTATTTTCCCAGTTGTCTCGTGTTCAGCTTTGAGGATTGTGTGGTTACGGCTCGATGCCCCACAAATTCATTAGTTGAAGGTTAGTGGTTTTCTCATTAGTTTCAGAAGGGCTTTATAAAATGGATTTTAAGTATAATAGGGACGCCGATTGATGTGCCTGTTAGGTAAATTGATAAACCTTTAAAGAGGACGTAAATTTACACATTATCATACAACAGTTCCACAAGTGTTACTAGCAGAAATTACACATGTTATGATGGCTGTGTACGCAGTAGTTTCTCAAGTTCTACATCTACGGTAAGCGATGAAAGTTTTCAAGTAACAGTCATTATTTACGTTTCCCTCCTATTCTTTACATATTGTAACTCAATAAAATTATGAGGAGAGATATAAATGATTGCAGTATGTTACGACTGATCTATGAAGATAGTGTGGAATTTTATGTCAAAACTCTAAACGCAGTAAACCATGGAAATAAGCGTACTCATCGTATTCCAAACAAGCCACTTTACACTCACATTTTACTTAGCCATATCAAAACTGGGCGGCTGAGAAGTGAATCCAGAATGATCAGAAGATAAAGAACAGTGTTGAACTAATGTATATCATAACATGACAATACGATCGAGCACAACGTTGACAGCAGGTTAAATAAAAAATAAACCGATAAAACATAACAAGTCGGTTACAACAAGCGAGTACAAGAAACTAATGAAGAAATCTCTGAAATGTTTTATGTGATTCGCCCGAGCGATTGAGGAATATGTTGACAAATATATTAAGTCATATTAATGTGATAGTAAGGATTACAAAGATTTCCGTTTTGAGTACTTTACGTTAGATATTTTGCAAAAATTAACTCCGCAGTATTGTTTAGTCTACAGTGCTAATTTATGCTAATGATGCCAACATTTATTGAGAAGTAATAGAGGATGTATGTACACTCCAGGCTGAGCTAGACCTTCTGGCCGGCTAGTCTAGATTGGGGGAGATACGGACTTGAAAATTATGTTTAGGTTGAAATTTTATGCTTAATAGGCAAATCGGATAGCTTGAAAAAAAAAAGACAACTGTCGATGCGAATCAGGATTTACGAGGGCCACTGTGTACACTATGCCTCTATTGGTCAGATCTAATTCTGTCTTAGTGTAGATTATAATGTGTGTCCTGTGAATATCTAAAATAGTAATTTACTTTGGACCAAATAAAGCTTTCATTTATCGTTTGGCTACGATAAGAAAGCTCAAGAACATAGTAGGCTAGTTCAAATGCCAAGAATGAAGTAAATATCCATATAATAGAGATTTTGTGGTGTTTGAACTTAGAGGTACTCAATTCAAGAGAACACTAGACACTCAGAAATTTACTTGAAGAGGATTGATACTGGCAGTTGTTCAATGTGGTTTGAATAAGACCTGAAGTCAATCTGGTGATGAAAAATTTCACATTGTTGGTGCCTGCGGATCGTTCTGTATATTATTTTTTATCTTTCCTACTCTAGGAAGGTTTTGACTGATGTCGCTTAACTTTATAATCTTCTGTATCATATGAATCATCATATTGCTAGGTAGGGAAGACCCAGGATCGTTCTTGTATATCAAGGCACTCATGAAAAGTCGGCAGTTTAAGAACCAACAATCACGGAGATATTGGATATTGGTCCCGTAGCGCCGCTTTCAGTTCTGTAAAAGCGTGTGCTTTTTGTTTCTATGAATGTTATGCAGGGGGACACTGAGATCAGCGTTAAAGGTAAGCTAAGAATCATCACACTTCAGTTTAATGGTCAGATGACCGCTATATTACTTCCAACCGACGTAACCTACTGCAGTCTGAGGTACGAAAATGTAGTGTTTTATAATGGCTTAACATAGGTTGTGTCTTTCTTTACACCAGTGGCAGATAAATTGAGATTGAAAGACAGTCATTCTATTCATAGGCCGCGTCTTGATATTGTTGAGGAAAAGCCACGGACTAGGACTATAGTCGTCAGACTGAGCTCTCCGGGGATGTCAGAAGGCGTACAAACGTTGGGTAAATTAAATAACTTCTCGTCCAGTAAACTTAAAATCCACCAAATAGATCACAAAAATAGTGTGGACGTCATCACTACATTTCTACCGATGGAAACTACGGCCAAGTCATCAATGAGCAGTTCTATCGTTACAAATGGGTCTGTGCCACACCAAGAGTTAGTACCTAATATTCTGCCTAAGGACACAAACACAAAAAGACCTTCAGTACCGTGTGTTTCATCGAATACACCGAATCGAAAGTCACTGTTTACTAATTTGATACGCAGACTTTCAACCCCGCGAAACAAAATATCTCGCACTAATAATTCTTCTGTTCTGTTAACTAAGGGTGAGACAGGTATGTCACGCAGCGACTCTGGATCAAGCAATCCTAGTCCACGAAAGTTACGTAGGTGGTTCACAAAGCGTATGTGGAAATCTGCAAAACTGTCTGATCAAATTCATGGAACACGTAAGTAGTTTTTTACATCCTTGGTGGATGAAGACTTTGAACTTTTTTGCATACTATCATACTCCTCGTAAATCTATCATTTCGAACAGTCTTGTTTTTATTGTAACAGTTATAAAAATCTGTAACAACATTGCTGAGGTTTGTTGTCCTGGCAGATACTAACGTAGGACTTCACACTTCATGTTTAATTGTTCCCTTTTATAATAGAGAAAAAGATCAAGACATTTCATAGTGCAATGACATGTACTCATTTTTCAAGGGTTCTCTTACAGAACGCTTACAATTGTCAGTACTTATTTTTCCCATTCCTAGTTTGCATATTACTGGATGTTTATTAGTCAGGTGAGGTATCACTGTTAAAAAGACCATTTAATTAAGATGTTCATGCTAATCAATTTCTGAACCATGTTTGCTGTTGGTTCACTTGGAATCCTAGCTGTCAATAAAAAAAATACAATTCACTATCCTGGTGTCAAAAAGTACCTTTTAGCTACTTTTGTAGTGGATTAGACCACTGATAGCATTATCAATTATTAGTTCTTGCGATTTAGATAATTAAGGTTACTACTATTGGTGATGTCCATCGTTAATGTATGAATTGTTCGAAAAAGCGCGATTAATAGTAATGCTAACATGTTTCTGAACTAGTACGAGACACCTTTCCTGAGGTTTCTAATAAGAGTAATGTTGTTATGTTATCTGATATGTTCATTTAACGGTGCAGCCTTGTCTATGTTGGATCCTCCATTAGCGCGTTTTACAGGTACTAAACAGCAATATCTTAATGTCGCATCATTTCTTCGGTTATCAATAGAAATAGGAATTACATTGCTAGGGATGTACAAGTCATGGGTCGCCGGACTATGCACAATAAATTTCGTGATAATTTAAAGGAAATTGAATAGGTAGCTAAGGGGTATGTTATGTCTTTTGGTGTAATCTTTAAGGGGGGTTGTTACAACGTGGTTCTTATCTATCACTTCACGCGGGGATGAGACTAATCTGATATTAAAATGCTCATCAAGTCGTTACATATTTTCCAGAAAATATTAAGGGCAACGTGAGACTAAATGGTTACCTTACAACTAACTTTCTATAGTCCGTTCTATTTTCATCCAAGTGCTCACTATGCTTGTTTTTGTTAGTTCGCTTTTCATTGGCGTGTCCTGTAGTGGTTTCCACGATGTTTTGGACAAGGAGTGAAATTTTCTGTTTTAGTCCCAGATTTGTGATGCTTTGTATCCGAAATAATCTTATTGGACAGTTAACTCAAGCGTAGGACCAATCGTCATAGGTTATTCAATCATTTTTCACAAAAATTCTAAACAAATGTTTTCTGATATATTCCTACGGATTAGTTATATGTAGGGTTCTAGAGGTAGCAATCGTATTCCTTGCCGATTCCTGTTATTGCAAATTTGTTCCTATTATCGCAGCCGCTCTCCCCATTCTTGTTCAACTTTGAGATAACACTCTCCTCGTCTAGATTTCCAGGGGTTGAACTTCTACCGGGAGGTTCACTTAGAATATGCAGATGACATGGTTTTATTTGGCGAAAACGCTGACAAAATGCAGAGTCTTCTGACCACTCTTAGCAACAATGCAAGCACGTTCGGGATGCGATTCTCTCCCTCGAAATGCAAAATGTTGCTTCAGGATTGTGTTGCATTGACACCCGAACTAGTGATAGGGAGTGAAGTAGTTGAGTGTGTCGACCGCTCCACTTATCTTGGAAGTCTCATCAGTCCTTGTGGTCTGGTGTGTGACGAAATCTCAGCACGGATACAGAAGGCTCGACTAGCTTTTGCCAACTTGCGTCATTTATGGCGTAGGCGAGATATCCGTCTATCAACCATAGGACGCGTTTACTGCGCAGCAGTTCGTCCCGGCCTACTTTATGGCAGTGAAACATGGCCGGTAAGAGTAGAGGATATCCATAGGTTACTAGTATTCGATCATAGGTGTCTTCGAAACATTGCTCGTATATCATGGAACCATCGAGTAAGTAACACAGTTGTTAGGAAACGGGTACTAGGTAAGGATGGCAAATCAATTGATGAAGTAGTGAAACTTCATCAGTTGAGATGGCTGGGACACGTGTTACGTATGCCCAACGACCGACTGCCTCGACGTGCTATGTTCAGTGGTATAGGAGTAGGTTGGAAGAAAGCTAGAGGTGGCCAAACCAAAACATGGCACAAGTGCATGAAGTCACTGACAAGTGGACTGAGTCATGTTGGTAGGTGTAGACTACCTGGTTGGGGACCGCGAGATGATAGCAACCGATGGTTAGAGACCCTGAATGACATGGCTCAGAATCGTTTGCAATGGCGCAGGTGCATCCACTCTCTGTGTTCTCCCAAATTCTAATCTTCTGAATTCTTCATGTCCCTTTTTCCCTCTTTCCAAATTTATTTCACTGGATTATACTCTTTAAATAACATCTCCAAACACTAATTTTCCTGATTGCTGCTTATACTCTTATTACCTCTACCACTACGGGATTTGAATCGACAACTGCATCTCTGTGCTTAGGTGGTGTGGCAACTCAAACTGATGTACGTACGTACGAAGTTCTACGTTGTTACTGACTGACTGACTGACTGATCACAGCCGCTTGGTCTTGTTAATGTTCTACTCTTTACTTCTGCGTTCATTTTCCCGTCATCTATGTACTTGTGTGGGTTAACTGGATAATTACATTGATCACTCAATTGGATTTAAATGAGTTATTTGTTGTGAAACTTAATTGGATATTATTTATCAAAAGCTTCACGAATTCACTTTATATAATTCAATGACTAATTAGGAACATTTGCTAAATATCTCGTTTGATGCATATATTATTTGTAAATCCTATCTTTTGATTCAATTAACTTTACTTTTCTACAGGTTGTAGCACAAATTCACAACCTTCATTAACCAGTGTTGATCCTGTTTTAGAGACCCAGTATACACACTCCACAGTTGACGACTTATCAGAGGAGTTGCAGTTGGTCACCCAGGACATTGGATCTGCTCCAGTCCCCCGTAAGCTCATATTCGCACCACATCCAATGAAATCCCCCTCACCGCATTCACAAAATGTTCGCGGTCAAAATTCTAGTTATAAAGTCGTAGTAAGTTTCTTGTCAACTCTATTTATGTGTGTGTATTCTAATTAATGATACTAAGTTTCGTAACGGCCAACTATTCAATATTGACTCCAAGGTGTGTTATTGAATTCCCTGCGCAAATTATTTAGCCGATTAGTTATAAATAATGTAAGACTTCGTAAAATATGCATTGGACCAGGCCCCAGACGCTCTGACACGGCCGAGGTTAAAGGGAGTCTGCTCCCTCGAAATACTTTCACAAGGACACGCGTATACAACCACTGTCAGGGAAGTCCTACTCACTGCCTTCTTGTGACGGCGGTGTTGTCTACGAAATTGAGAGGACAAAAACCGAATTTCCGGCGCTTTAACCGGGTTGATGGATACGGAGGGTACACCTAGAGGAGTTGGAAAACCCTGATTTCAAACCAATGGTGTACGTGGGCCACAGGATTCTGAACGAACAAATAGCGTATGAAGCAATCGTTGGTTACCGGCTACCATGGGACTGCATCTCCTTACGTTGCTCTACTGCCCTGTGGATCAGACCGTTAGGTCGAAGGCTCCAGATGTGGTCCCCTAAGAAAACCACATGCTTCGGTTTGGGCACCCGGGCAGTATCACAGCCCTCACATAAATCGTAAACTTCTCATATGTAATTGAATAGGTTATGCGTTTTGTAATCACGTACACGTTTCTCTACTTCTTAAAATAATGAGTGGACGCGGTAAAGGTGAAGTTCGTAGTAAGGCTAAAACAAGGTCAGCCCGTGTTGGTCTTCAATTCCCGGTTGGTCGTGTACATCATCTTCTTCGCAAGGACAATTACGCTGAGCGAGTTGGTGCTGGTGCTCCAGTCTATCTAGCTGCAGTTCTCGAATAAGGAACCATAGCTGATTTACGATCTAAGGAACCATAGCATATATATTGGCGCTCTCTTGTACTAATATTCATGTGTTCAAAAAATAAATAAATAAGTTCTCGAATAAATAAAAATCATAATAATGTGTTAAAGTAAATAAAAGAGATAACTTGTTGAAATATCTAGTAGTAGCAACAGGTAGCCCAGATATTCCATCAGGCCGACAGTTGATATTAATCCAGCACAAATAAAAACAATTAGTAGTAAAACATTTACATTCTACAATAATCAAATAGTTATCCATAAGACAGCATTACATCTTGGTCATGAAAAAATGTTTGGTTCTTATTGTGTATATTTTCTAGGCTCAAGATACTGGCGTTGATTACAACATCCATGTTTCCATGCAATCTGAACGTGAGTTGAAACTTCCATGTAGTTCTTTTCATTTTTCTTTGGCAAAAAGTGAATTATGATCTGTTCACCTCCATTTATACTTTTTATGACGTATGAACCCATTGTTGGTCACCATCCACCATGAGACTGCATCTCGTAACTTTGCTCCAATGCCTTGTGGATTAGACCTTTAGGTCGAAGGCTCGGGATCTGGTCCCCTAAGGAAGTCACCTGCTTTGGTCTGGGCACCCGGGCAGTATCCCAGCTCCTACACAAATCAAATGATAACTACTACTGGCAAAATTACTTTTGCTTCAACGCTCATTCAGCCGAATCATTTGATAACATTCGTTTCTATTTCTTTTGCACTACGTTACTTATCTACTCCCTTTTATTCTCATCCTGCGTATTTTTCAACATGCACAGCAGCTAGCCTATGGTGGAAACCCTGTTCTATCGAAACAATATGGAGTCACCGACTGGTCGAATACTGAACCAGCCTTCCTGAAACCACACGTCCATTCAAACAGACCAATCGGGACTTGTTGGTCACAGGTCATAACGGTGACTGTCTACTGTAACTTTGCGTAGGCTGCAATCTGTTTTCAGCTAGCACTGACTTCCGGCACAGTCATCGCCGATGTGCCACCTGATGCTCTCCTTCTGCATCTCAAGTTTGAACTCAGATTGATCACATCGTGATCAGCTATCTCTGGCATAGTTGTGTACAAGACTACCTCTCCTTTTGGATTACCTATCTGGACTCTGATCATGACCTTGTTTGCGTTAATCTTATGTTTCACTGGCCAACAAGCTCATCGTCCTAAACGGACCAATGTCAGCAAATTGGTTGCAGCTGCTGTTGCGACTAAATACCAAACCCAGCTAGGTTTAAGGCTAGCTACTAGCCCATCGAGCAGCATAGATAAGTATTGGCTACAGTTGCGTGATACCATGGAAACGGCGAGTGAAAAGCCGCTTGCAGCTTCGCGAAATGTCCTGCTTATAAGCACTGCGTTTCTACAGGCTCCTCACAACTCATTGAAGCACGTCGGTCTACTCTGAGTGGCTGCGAGTTTGACCACAAATGGAGATTGTTACGTAATGGATTTGTGCGAAGCTTGCATAAGGACTGAGAAGCCTGGTGGTTGGAGCGTGCCATTGAGTTTAAAGTAGCAGCTGCATCTGGTAACTACCGGAAGTTCTTTCAACCCATCCGAGTCACTGGCAGCAAGTAGTTTGGTGTGTGTGAAACAATCTGTGAAGATGAGATAATGCCATTCAACAACATCTACCGACGTCGGACGATAGGCAGAGTTTTTCGAAAAGTAATCCAACTGGTCTGCTGTCCCGGCAACTTCGGTCAGACGTTCCTGCTCTCCATGACCGGTGATGACTGACCCACCTAACGAGCCGGAACTCCAACCCCTAAAGCGCCACATGTCACCAGACCCAGATGACTTAACTCATGCCCTTTTATAGATAGTGGCAGGTTATTGAACTGATGGTTGTTTGCGAAAATGTGAGAATTAGAGTGTTCCAACCTCGCGTCGGTGAGAGCAGTTTTGCTCTATGATTGTGAAACCTGGCCTCTCCGAGTTGAGGATGTTAGACGACTCTGTGTTTGATCATCGTTGTCTCCGAAGGATTGCTGACGTCCAATGGCAACATCGTGTTAGTAATGCAGAGGTTCGGCATCGTTTGTTCGGGCGCAGAGACGATAATGCAATTGGTGTCACCATCTTGAGACACCGACTTCGGTGTTTTGGACATATTCTACGAATGTCGTACCAGAGAATTCCACGTCGTGCATTATTTGCCGACGCTGTGACTGGTTGCAAAATGCGCAGAGATGGTCAGTGTATGACATAGTGTCGCGGTATGAAAGAAAGTTGTACAGGACTGGTCCTTCACAACTCCCTGGTTGGAGTCCTAGAGATTGTGCAACATAGTGGCTTGAGTTTTTATCAAACATGGTTCAGAATAGAAACAAGTGGCGATGCTGTTGTAACTTTCTTCATAAAAGCGAACGTCACTTTAACTAGAAGAATTCTTTCTGGTTGTACCTTTGCTAACTGAACTATTTCTTTTATTATTGTTTCACTATCATACACCAATTTCTGTTCGTTATTGTTCTCTTTTTCTTATACACACTTTACATTCTCTATCTTCATACTCTCATCGTTATTGTGTGGCGCATATGCATTTGGTGCCTCCTTGTGCCAATATTTTTGTGTTCAAAGAAATAAATGTAGTTTTTTAATCAGTAATTGTGCAAATGAATTGATAATAACCAAGTAAGGCTCAGGCATAACTATATTGGACAGATTTTCTTTATTTAGATAAATAGTCAAACTATCTAAAGTTAGTGTTGGTTGGTGGAATGCTAACCGGGGTAGGGGATGGTTGGAAGAAAGTTAGGGGCGGCCAAACCAAAACGTGGCATCAGTGCTTGAAGACACTAACTTCTAGTCTGAGCCACGTTGGTAGATGCAGACTACTTGGTTGGGGTCCGCGTGACTTTCGTAACCAATGGTTGGAGACTCTTGGGGACATGGCTCGGAATCGATCACAATGGCGTCGGTGTATACACTCCCTGTCTTCCCTTAAACTAAGAGACTAAAATCACTTCATTCTTTCTGTCTACGAACTAATTCTTTCTTCCTATACTATATCCTTATTGCAACCTTTGACCTAACCACTCCTATGAATCCGGTGTTCATCTTGTTGTGCTGATGCGGTATGGCAACCTGGACCGATGCACATATGTGCCTGGTCCTACGTTGTAGCTGACTGACTGGTGGAAATATTTATGAAAAGTCGTATGTATCGGTTTTTCATCGTTATTGATGTCTTTCCACTTGACCCTGATGGCTTAACGTTTGACCCCTGGGCTTTTTGAAACTATACGACTTCTCTAAATTAACATTTGCATTACTATTTCGTCAACTAAGGCTTTATCCACCTTAAATTTCATCATTCTTCGTTCGACCTTGGATAATAGGACCTAAAATGGAACGCCTTACAGTCAGTACAACTCGGTTAGGTTGTATTAAGAAGGATTATCTACTACCACGTAAAGATGTGTATAATACTGAAAATGATTCGAAAAATGTATTGTCATATTGTACCTGAGTAATGTTAGAGTTTTAAATGTCTGTCAGATTCTAGGAGAGATACTTATATGACAGTCACCGTAATTAATGTATGGTAAGGGTTCAGAAGATTCAAATCCACTGATTTAATCGCAAATATGACTCCTTATTATTCTCGGGGTAGTAGGGATCATAAGCGCCAATTATAAAAGTTAGCCAATATCCTAACCGGTCGCTAAATACCCTAGTACGGCCGAGAGTGGGGAGAGACAGCTCTCCCTCTCTAAATGCTCTCACATGGCCACGTGCATACAACCACTGTCAGGGAAGTCCTACTCACTGCCTTCTTGTGACGGCGGTGTTGTCTACGAAATTGAGAGGACAAAAACCGAATTTCCGGCGCTTTAACCGGGTTGATGGATACGGAGGGTACACCTAGAGGAGTTGGAAAACCCTCATTTCAAACCAATGGTGTACGTAGGCCACAGGATTCTGAACGAACAAATAGCGTATGAAGCAATCGTTGGTTACCGGCTACCATGGGACTGCATCTCCTTACGTTGCTCTACTGCCCTGTGGATCAGACCGTTAGGTCGAAGGCTCCAGATGTGGTCCCCTAAGAAAACCACATGCTTCGGTTTGGGCACCCGGGCAGTATCACAGCCCTCACATAAATCGAATGATTTATGTAGCCATATATATTTAGTGCCTTCTTGTACCATTGTTTGTGTTTAAATAAATAAATAAAAGTGTACAATTGCTATGGTCAATTAATGTTTTAATAATAGTTTTGATATTCTTTATTTAATGTTTGTTTCGATAAGCATTCATACATTTAAATCTTCGTACTCTTGTTTTATTCACTAGTTAATAATATCAGAATGGATACTGAAGTCAAAAACTCCCCAAACTGTTCACCATCTTCTCTATTTTGTACCACTGGCATTCATTCGCCGGTGACCAGTTCCCCACTACTTTCTGCTGTAACACGTGAAAATAGTATACGTTCTGTTGGAAACGAAATTCATCATTTCGGAGTACCATTTCACCATGACATAAATAACATTGAGCCAAATAATCTTCGTCGATCAGAAGCGTTAATTTCACAGTCTTGTGCAAAACTTCCACAATCTGTAGCGTCCCAGTATCGCACATCTCCTTTGGCCGTATGTAGCTGTAAGTTCTGTGAGTGGTTTCTATACCAATTTATACTTATCAGTTAGAACGTTGGGTGACATACATTTTCTGTGTAAAGTACGGTGAGCAATACAATCAGAATTTTCCCAGTTGGTCTATATTTTCTTCTAAATTTAAAATAGAGTTATTTTTTATTTCAGATACACCCAGTTATCTCAGCGCATCAGTGGCAGCGTTCGGTTACAGTAAATATTACTCAGCATCAAAATCAATTCATAATCTAGTCCATACGGAAACTTCTCCTTTAGTAATTCAGCATGCTGTTGGACATAAGCTATCCATTGCCCGTTCTCATAGTGGGACATCAGATATTAAAAATGAAGTAGTTACTTCTGCAATTTCAAGTACAGTGACAAATACTTTCGGTGAGAAAAAGTCGCGAGTTGTGGGAAATATGTGTGGAGATGCTGGATCTATTTTAGAGGATTCTAAATCATCTTGTCGTCGAACTGAGGTATTTTTACTAGTTTTACATTGAGTTAATAAATTTGCTTTACAACACCATTTCCTTCGGTAACTAAAGTGACATCAACTTAGTTCACACTTATGATAAATAGTTTGATGATGTCTGCATTGTTACTCAACATAACATTCAGTTGCTGTAGTTGTTTGTTGACACATGACTGAGTCCAAAATAGTTAAGAGAGGTCAGTTTATGATTAAGTGCTATGTAATAGAATATAGTTGCATCAAATTCGCGTCTAGGTGCCTTTATGAACTTTGGTTGTCATCATACATGATTTACAGTTGATTGTTGTGTTTGCTATAATGTAACTTACCGATGTAATTCGAGGAGTTCTAGTGAGAAACTGTGACAGGTGTGGTTGGGCGTGAGACAATGGAAGATGTTCGTGCGATACCGTGAATTTTGACTGAAGTTAAACTCTTACACCATTGGATCCCAGCATAGTGGTCTAGAGGTTTGTACCCAAGGCTGGAGCTCCTTGGTTTGATTCTCGGTAGGGCCATGATTGCAAACATCTGAGGAGTCCCATATTAGGAGAAAATGACTTCAGTGCTTGGTAGTTTTCAGTGGTAGTCTGACTGAAATCAGTCTGCGATATGAACTATAAAAAGATTGATAAAAAAGTGCTTCGCTCGAAACAAAATGTAGGAAGTGAAAAAGCAACTATGATAACCAGAACTTAATAGTGTTAATGAACACAGTTCAAACGACAATACAACAAACATAACTTCCATTCCTCTCAGAAGTACACTTTGTAGTTTATATTGAACACATAAGTGAGTTTCGAATCTATCACTACTGACTTTGATTTCCAACTGTCCTTATGTTTTCTGATTTATAAAACACCATTCATGGAGTTGTTGTAGACTAACAAATGCTGAATCAACACAACTATGATTCATTCGAGGAGAAATGTATAGAACTGTCTCGCTCTGATCGTTTTTACTTATTTGCAGTATCGCTAAACGAAGCTGTACATGATAGTTGCTAGAACGTCGTGGGTAAATTGTATCGTAGCCTCTAAAGTCGGTATTTAAAGATGATATTGTTAGTTGAACCGTAGTCTTTCAACGTACTTCACGATTTCTTACAGGGTGTTGTCACTAAATGTGAAGAGTCTTTTGGAGTGAATGTGAGGCAAACTTAAAGCCGTCGAAAATCTTCACCTCGAAGAGGTCAGGTTCCTTAGACATAAATCAGAACTACTCGCTTCTCGGGGTTTACACTTAACACTATTGTAAATTTGATATTTTGATGTTGCTAAAGACGATTTATAGTATCATGATTCGCTCTCCCATTATGTCCTTTAAAGTAATCAATCTGCACCATCTCTATCGATATCTAACTTTGAGAAGAACGACGAAAATGATCAACCCAAATCATGAAAGTAGAAACGAAACCTCAAAATTCCAAGTTTTCTTTCGTATTCGATCAAAGACTAGCGCTTCCGACGAGTTTCACGCTAAGATCGTACAACTACTCAGTGCTCTCTAAGTATAAATGTTCAGCGTTTATTTCACTGTACTAGGATTTTGAACAGTTTATGGTTTTCCTAGAATGTTGTCTTTATATGCAACACCAACATTTTATGAAAATAATATTTTCTAACTTTGTATTTATTTTAAATCCTATTTAGTCTGGTCGTGATGGCGTTTGGAATGGTAGCACAGAAAATGTCATTTTGAGAAGAAAGAGGGTAAGCATTTGCGGTCAATGCATACTGTGTAATTATTATGTGGCATAATGAAATTTTCTGTTTTAAAGTCCTATCCCAGGTTTACTTAGGAAGAGATAAAGAACTGTTAAATAGTCAAGTTCACATGCATTTTATTTGTTGAAACTGCCAGTTATCTTCCTCTCTGTGTGTGCGCGTGTATGTTAATATGTCCGGATTCGCGAAAATCCATGTCGTGTTTATTGTTTAGCTGTGTTATAGAAATATGTTTTACTATGCGTTAAAAATATACTAACAAAGAAATTCAGTATTGGCGCCATTTTAAGTGGTGAAGTTTTAATTGAACAGCTTCGGTGAAATAAGAGATTTGTACGAAAGAAGGTTTATTTGCTTTTGTCGGTAAACGCTAACCAATAACACTTTCAATGGAAAGTGTTTGTGATATGGATTATACATTCTCTCATTAGTTAAACTTCTGATTTCAGACAGTACTACAACAACGGTTCAGTTTTATAATGATATGCTTGGTTGCAAGCTTATTTGTTTATTTTAACACATAGATATGGGTACAAGGGGGCACCAGATACATATGCGCCACTTAAATCTCATTCGATTTATGTAAGGGCTGTGATACTGCCCGGGTGCCCAAACCGAAGCATGTGGTTTTCTTAGGGGACCACATCTGGAGCCTTCGACCTAACGGTCTGATCCACAGGGCAGTAGAGCAACGTAAGGAGATGCAGTCCCATGGTAGCCGGTAACCAACGATTGCTTCATACGCTATTTGTTCGTTCAGAATCCTGTGGCCCACGTACACCATTGGTTTGAAATGAGGGTTTTCCAACTCCTCTAGGTGTACCCTCCGTATCCATCAACCCGGTTAAAGCGCCGGAAATTCGGTTTTTGTCCTCTCAATTTCGTAGACAACACCGCCGTCACAAGAAGGCAGTGAGTAGGACTTCCCTGACAGTGGTTGTATGCACGTGGCCATGTGAGAGCATTTAGAGAGGGAGAGCTGTCTCTCCCCACTCTCGGCCGTACCAGGGCATTTGGGGGCTACAGTATTACTGTAAACTGGTACATGTGTGATGTGCTTCTTCTATGGCCTGTGTATCGTTCTACCAAGAGGATTTCCACTTGTCGGCGAATATGCATACGTTTGCACAATGATGACACCAACTATGATATACTTTCTATCACCACCTTGGTTCGCAGCTTGACTTTGTCCTAGTTAATTCGAACACATTAAAATTAGTCAGGAGCAAGTTCTACCATTTTTAAACCACTACGGTATTTCATCTTCTATAATACGTAAACTTTACTTGCCCCCTAATTTGTATACTTGTTCCCTAAGTGACATTTTCCACTGGTTATTTAAATTTGTTTGTATGATTTTAGACAACTAGTAACACCAATAACACTGATGATCAAGAACATTGGAATCGATCTTCACTCATTATGTTGGCAGTCGCTCATGCTAGTCCTCGTGGTCGTGTTATAACTCCCACAACTGCACTAAACAAACCTTTCTTTCCAAGCTTTTCAGATTCCATCACTGCTTATAGCGAGGTAAATAAGAGTAATGGAGAGCTCAATACTTCAATACAACATAAAACGGAATTAGGTGAATATTTGTCCTATTTTTTGATGACATTTTAATAGTACAGTTATTTTCTTTAAAAATGATTACTGTAAATGGCAGTAGATAACAGTTGCGTTCTTTAGAGTAACTTTTGTGTATATCCTATGAAATTAAACACGGGTTTCAGGTTTTGTGAAAAACATACAACTGGTCAATAAGTAACGAGTGATAATATTTCTTAGTTGTTCAAAATTTGTTATTGATTGAGATCATGAACCGATTGATGTTAGACCACCATTGAAAACCTGAAAGCACTTGACAGTCGTTTCGCCCTGTTGTGGGACTCGTCAGTAGTGCGCTTCCACGAGTACGATCAATCCACATCGAGTATGTGAACTTGCGAAAGGTGTTTATAACATATCTCCATCATGTCCTAAGCATTTATGATCCTATCTATATAAGATCGGCCAGTGATTTATATTAAATTTTCTCAAGAAATCCTTAAAGGTATTTGATAGCTATATTCCTTTCAGTGTTTCATATTTTATTTTATTGGCTACTGAGATAAATTTCCTCATTCAAAAAAGTGACTAAAAGAGTGTAGCAACTTGTCTTTTCGATTAGTTGTTCCTCATGCCAATCAAGTTTTGTTGTACTGGATAAAATGACATTACAAATTCAAAAGTTCTTACTGAAATGGTTGCGAATGATTTACAAAGTAATTGAAAGATAGACGGAGTGGACAAAGTGACTACTATTTACAGGTATTGATTCATAAATGAATGAAGTGAAATACATGGTTACAGAATTGATATTTTGCATTGTATAAGTGAATTAGTAAAATTTTCAATCAGAAGTTGACTATTACTAACAATCACATATTGTTATTGTTATGCAACAAGAAAAAGAGGATAATTTATATTAATTTGTGATGTGCACACTTGTTCCCAATACTACTGGTTCATTTGTAACATTTCAATTTATATTTTTTTGTCCAATTACAATTATGCCACGTTGTATATACAAAAAAATCATTAATGGGGTTGTAAATGTGCTATGATGTAATTTCGAATTATCCAAGTTTTGAGATTGAAGTTAGATTTAGTTCTCATCTACTGTTGTTTACGCTCAAATGTATAATCATTTGCTAATTGTCGAGTATGTGCTACGCTATGTATCCTATATTGTAATGTTTATCTTTTTTACTAGTTGATAGTCGATTATTTGTCTAAAAAAACTATTAGTCACTTTCAAATATTGTTTTTTTTTAAATTTTTGCTTAATAACTAATTAAATGGACTAATCACATTTTTATTTTCTACAAGTTGATACACTCAGTAGCAGCGCAGAACTATCACTTGAAGGAAATTCATCTGTAATAATTAATTCTATCAAAGACAAGCAGTCACTCAACACTGATTATACAACGTCGTCAAATCAGTCAGAAATTAAAGTAGATGGGAATTTTTATCTTCAACAAGTAGATCAAACAGAGAAAGAATTATTAAATAAAGTTTGTGAAATCGAAACTGATCTTAATAATGAAGTTGATTTGAATGATGAAGGTAATGGTATCACATAATATACTGTTATCAGATAATATTATTTTCGATAACGTCTGTATGTACAAGTTATATTTTGTTTATGCATAAATTTAGCTGTGATTTGTTCTTTTATTCAAGATGAACGGATTCTATTTAATGAAAGGAACTTATTTTATTATCTATCCTTCCATTCTTTAAGTAGTTAGTTGGATATTTCATCAATAAATTCAAAAGTCTTGAATAATTTGAGTTATAATTCAATGTATCTTGTTAAAAAATAGTCAAGGTAATAGGATTTAGGACACGTGCTAAACATTTAGTTGCTAACATAATGGTGATTTTCAGGTCAAAAGAATAGTCTTGTGGAAACCAGGCTCCCTGAGCTATGTGTTTTAATCAAAAACTTTCATTATCCTTCTAGATGACATCATCAGCACAAACTTCTGATAAAAGTGAGCCATCAAAATTTGTTTTTTCCATGTCGAATTCGATTGGTGGTTATTATTGCTTATACTGTTATTTTGTGAACATTTGCTTTGATTGTCTTCTCTCCTTACCTAATTATTGGCTCTGTACTTGTTTATCTTGTTTTAAGTTGGTTGATAATTTGTCTACTTCACTACTTACTGGTTACTTATATAAGCGTGAATCTTCTAAAAATTCTCTTTTTGTTTGTGCTACCTCTATCCAAAACTTCAGCATTTTTCAAGTCTAACGTCTCTTCATCCGTCGTTATGAGCAGAGATAATTTGTGACGTTTAGTAACTAAGACAAAGATGAAAAGGGTGGTCGTTTTGTCCACTGTAATGTTTTTCGAAGTTAAAGACTATTCGTCATCAAATGGATAGTTTGGAAAGTGTTGACAGTTTGATTAGCCATATTCTTGATGACATAAAATCGATATTGTATGTGTTAAACACTGAATATAACATGGCAAATCTAAAACTTCAAGTGTATAGCTCAATTCTATGCAATGTTTGTACTGTTGTTTTTGTCTGCCAAGACAATGAAAACTTCATGATTAGAATGGTTAGCTCAGTGAGCGTAACCTCACCGAAATTTCGTTGCTTCCTGACTATTCGAACATAAAAATAGAGCTAAACGTTGTAATTCAGTAAAAAAAATGTCTAATAATTTAACCACTTAACATTAACACTCTCATGAATATGTTTTTAAAAATCTTTTCTTACTAATATGGCAATAAATAATTTTTTATACAACACATAAGTATTCTGAAATAGTGACGTGTTTCTGGAAACAGTTACAAATACATGTTTTTTTTATTATCTTAAAAGGTTTAAACTTTTTAACTGACTCACTAAAAAAAAATCCTTTTATTATGCTAATGTTCATTTGCAATTGATCTATGGTAGAATGTATACCTGTTTTTGTTTTTCTTTACTTGTATAGATTATTATTTAACTAAGTTGATATAACAAAATTCTAATTTACATATATTCTATCTGTGTTTACTTATTATATGAAAAATCAACTATATAAAATGTTTGTTAGCATCAGAATTTTTAAAGATTCAATTCGTTTATTTTCAGTACTTTAGCTCATCATACTATTTCACATGTTAACTGTTTTTAAACAAAATATTCGATAGCAAAATTTACCGCTAAGATTTGTAATCGGACAAATTTGATTTTCTTTTTTTAATTTACACTTTAAAATCATAAAATTTTTTATTTACTTCCTGTTTGTGAAATGTATATTGTTTCTTGTTCTGAAAAGCATAAAAAGTAGTGAATAGTTTGAAATTCATTAAATAGTGTTTCCTCTTTGTATCGGATCAACTGAACTATAAGTTAATTTGAATATGTACTTCTGAGATGTTGGCTAACCAGTATTCGTAATAAAGCTAAATCCTATCATAGAATGTAACGATAATAGTTCATTCGTCAGGGCTGTCCACTCTCCCCATTCTTGTTCAACTTTGTCGTGGACGTACTTCTAGAGATAACACTTTCCTCGTCTAGATTTCCAGGGGTTGAACTTCTACCAGGAGGTTCACTTGTTGACTTAGAATATGCAGATGACATAGTTTTATTTGGCGAAAACGCTGACAAAATGCAGAGTCTTCTGACCACTCTAAGCAACAATGCAAGCATATTCGGGATGCGATTCTCTCCCTCGAAATGCAAAATGTTGCTTCAGGATTGGGTTACATCGACACCCGAACTAGTGATAGGGAGCGAAGTAGTTGAGTGTGTCGACCGCTTCACTTATCTTGGAAGTCTCATCAGTCCTTGTGGTCTGGTGTGTGACGAAATCTCAGCACGGATACAGAAGGCTCGACTAGCTTTTGCCAACTTGCGTCATTTATGGCGTAGGCGAGATATCCGTCTATCAACCAAAGGACGCGTTTACTGTGCAGCAGTTCGTCCTGGCCTACTTTATGGCAGTGAAACATGGCCGGTAAGAGTAGAGGATATTCGTAGGTTACTAGTATTCGATCATAGGTGTCTTCGAAACATTGCTCGTATATCATGGGACCATCGAGTAAGTAACACAGTTGTTAGGAAACGGGTACCAGGTAAGGATGGCAAATCAATTGATGAAGTAGTGAAACTTCATCAGTTGAGATGGCTGGGACACGTGTTACGTATGCCCAACGACCGAATGCATCGACGTGCTATGTTCAGTGGTATAGGAGTAGGTTGGAAGAAAGCTAGAGGCGGCCAAACCAAAACATGGCACAAGTGCATGAAGTCACTGACAAGTGGACTGAGTCATGTTGGTAGGTGTAGACTACCTGGTTGGGGACCGCGAGATGATAGCAACCGATGGTTAGAGACCCTGAATGACATGGCTCAGAATCGTTTGCAATGGCGCAGGTGCATCCACTCTCTGTGTTCTCCCAAATTCTAATCTTCTGAATTCTTCATGTCCCTTTTTCCCTCTTTCCAAATTTATTTCACTGGATTATACTCTTTAAATAACATCCCCAAACCCTAATCTTCCCGATTGCTGCTTATACTCTTATTACCTCTACCACTATGGGATTTGAATCGACAACTGCATCTCTGTGCTAATGTGGTGTGGCAACTCGAACTGATGTACGTACGTACGGAGTTTTATGTTGTTACTGACTGACTGACTATTATTGAAGTTCGTTTCCGAATAACTTGTCAGTATTTATTGAGTATGCATTAATCCATTCAAAGTATGTTATAAAAAGTAAGGATTTCATGATATAATTCGAGATACAGAAGTGTATTACTACATTATTGCTTTTCATACACTAAAACATGTCACAATGTTGATTGATTTCAAACAACTAAGTAAAGTTAGCATACCTGTTACGATAAAATTAGCTCAGAATTAAAACTATTAACATTTATTCATTTGATAATCTTTTACTTGAATCTTCCCATTGATTTTTTAGGACTGAAATTGATCAGTCTCTTATTGGCATATGTGCATACTGTGCGTATGCCTCGATATTGCCTTAATTTACAAGCATTATAAGCAAAGATGGATAGTGGCTAGCAATGGAATCCAGGACTCGCGTTTCGTCCTGTTTGGGGCTCGTCAGCTGGATGTACCTACACTTATGTAGTTTCCTAGTTATCATATTACTCATGTAGTTATCTGTAAAGGCAAACAAATCTTATTGTGAAGAGAAGTATAAACTTTAGTTAGATATACTCATGAAAAACTTGAGATAATGGATAATTAACATAGTAAGTACGGATCGTACTTAAGAAGAAATTGTTATTTATTTAAAGTTTCTAGAACTACCACTTACCGATACATTTGAGATGTTATGTTTCGATCCGTGAAAATGTTTATGTGATTTTGTCTAAATTAGAGGACTTTGTTTGTTTGCAGAATATTTTCTTTGATTCAAAGAAGATTTTAATGTGATTTATGTTTTATGAACGAAAAAACGTAAATTTCTAAGCACTGTATGCAATCGAATTCATCAATAATTAGGCGTAAAATTGAAAATTATTTGATAAAGTCTGTTAGTCTCTTAAATGAATTTTATGGACAGATTTTTTTCCCTGTCCTGACTTGTGTGTATGTAAGATGGAATGAATTGTAAGTTTTCACAGCATAATACTTTAATTTGTCTAAAATTTTGTTGATTTGCCTATATTTCGTGCTGATCAATTGTTCATAATTCGTTATTTCAAATCGAGCCAACATTAGATGGAAAAAGTAGTTAGTTGTTGCTCAACTGTCAATTCTTATTCTTTTTGTGGAAAAATTTAGTTTCTGGTCTTTTACGAACTGCTTCTGGCAAAGCGAGACTACTGATTTCTGAGAAGTTTTGTCAATTTCGTGCTTTATGCCATCAAAACCTTGCCTGGGAGAATTCAAAAACAGTTGGGGTTGACAACAATTTCTTAAATGAGCCTAATACATTAATCACTTTGGTTAGTGATTTGGATGGTTTCTGGGCGATGGTATCACTTCAAGTAGATGACATTCGTGGTTTATTCAAACAAGTGGATTCTTTACGGGCTAACAATTGGCAACCGGTTGATAACTCACTATCTGCTACGCAAAATATCTCAGTAGGTGACTCCATTTCATCAGAGAAACGAAAGGTATTATTTGCAAGCTTTTATTTAAAGATTTTTGTTACAACTGGTTTATTTCTATGTATGACTGAACTGTGAAAAGTTGATTAAATTCTTCTATGTGCTTAGACTATTTTGGTAATGTGTCCGAATTAATTCTTAATGTTAAAAATGGAATTTATGACTAAGCAATCGCTTACACCATTTCCTATTGAGTTCAGAATCTTACAAATTAATTAGGTTTAGCCATTGATAAGTACGGAAAATAGCAGACTTGTTCATTATTTTAGATTTATATAAAAACTAATTCGATACTTGAGTTGTATAATATCAGAAATATGTATATATAATTTGATATGACGAGGTAAGAATGACACCTTAAATCTAGGCGTTAATTCTGTTGGAGAGTGAATGACCTATAGTTGTTTGTTCAACTACCTCTAATCATGTTTATTCTTGTGCTAAATATTTTGTAAATGAAAATGCTATTCTGTTGGAAGATAAACTTCATTCTCGTGAGCAGCCATCATTCGGTCATGTTTTATTATTATTATTATTATCAGCTTTATTCAATATTATATTTTTGATACAATATAGAATTCTCAGCGTAAAGTATTTCAACAAGTTTCCGTTTCTTTCTTCTTGGTCGGTCCTGGCGATAAATATTGAGTGATCACCAGTTAGATGTTAGCACTTCAGTGAATGAACATCTGAATAATGTGCATTCTTTTCGTTGTATATTGCCAGCAACCACATTGTCTCTTATTGAGTTTTTTGTAACTTTGACAACGAAAGGTTGTACACTTTTCAGAAACGCAGCAGAATAGGTAATGCGATTAATAAACATAATGATATATTAAAACAAACAACAATAGATAACTTGTTGAAATATGTAGATGGCAGGAACAGGTAGCCCAGATGATCAAGCAGCATGTCATCTATAAATTAGCATTATATTCTTTCATTTTAACTGACGAAAATCCGTTCATAGAACGATTAAATTCTACTTCATAGTAAATTATGGTCAACTAGTTCTTAGTTTAGCCTTATTGTATTTTATGCTGGAAACGGATGGAAGATGAAACGTTATTAAAATTGCAGCGATAAATAAACAGATCAAATCAATAAAACATTTCAACAATAAACAACCACACTCCCAAATCAGAAAAGAATAGTCTTAACAATTGAGGCTTTTATACCTTTTAGAAAAGCAATGATAACTGTTACAACATTGTTTACATAACCTTGTCAAGATAATAATAAAATAGTATTGTAAAATGTGTCAGTTTAATTCAAATAAGTAAGTCCTATAAGACATCAAATATAAGAGGCCTTTAGAGGGTTCCCAGTCACTTTGTTATTTGCCTATGAAATGCAAATATCTAGATAATATTGACCTGCAACAGTCTGGAAAACTTATCCCAATTTCTCTCCATATATACATATATATAATCTGTTAATCAGAAATGCTTTATTTTTTTATTTTCAATACTACTTGCCATTATGTAATATATCCTAAACATTTATAATTATTCATATATTTTACAAATTCTCTCATTGCGACTGACTTGATATTATTCTATATTTTATTGTTTTTCTTTCAGTTAAATCGTAAAGTTACTAAATCCACTGTAGCTAAACAAAACAATATGATTGCTAGACAACAGGCTCGTGAACGTCTTGAACTCGCTAAACGTAATATGCAGTTAAAGAATTTGAATAATTCACATGATGATAAGTCAACATTAAGTATCACTGAAAATAAGCTTATATTTGTATAGAATTTTTATAAGATGTATATCCTTTATTTCAATATTTGTAAACTAATTTTTTTCTAAAGAAATACGGCAACAATTAAAATGAAATTGAAGTTATTTTGCTGCAATATAAGTTACGGATTTCGTTGTATTGTTTAAAGTATTATGGTTTTCTTTTTCGAGCGTTATCTCCCGCTTTTTTTCAACGAATCCATCTATATATATACTTTACATGTATTTATGTTCTTTTCATTTCCCTAGTTCCCTTATTTATTCATGTTAAAGATATGAATTAAATAATCAGTAGTGAAACAAACTTGTTAATTAAACAAATTTATTTGCTATTCACCTATATTCTAGAAGCAGCTTTATATCTCTTTTCCTATCCTGTCATGTTCGTTATATGAGATTGCCCTTCATTATTTTTCATTGTTCTAATTGTTGAACATGATTAGTTTCATGCAATTGTTCATTGTATATTCAAAGTTTGTTTTACAAAATAATCTTGCCAGTTTTCACCACTTATTGATTACTTCCAGATGGAACAAGAACAAATAATAAACATTTAAGCATTTCAACACTGTTGTATTCAGGAGCTGTTTTTTATACTAAGCAAAGCATTTTTTCATATT